GGGGGGGGCCCAGCCCCACCTGGCAGCCCGAAGGTCCCGTTCTTCCAAACCCTTCCCGGTCTTGGCGACAGAGCCCTTTGCCTGGGTTTCAGAGGAGACCTCATGGTCAGAGCGTCTGATCTACAGACAACCTACGCCGTCGACCGGGGCCCGGGCATCGGGATGAAAATCACAGAGCCGCAAGGGTTGGGAGGGCCAAGCCAGCATTTCTGTCTGGGGGCTTGTCTGTCCCTGTTAGCTGTCTAAGCAATACCTAAACATTCCAGCCAAGGCGGGGCTCGCTCTCTTGGCCACCCAGGCTCATGTCCAGGACTCCAGTGCTTGCCCAGGGATGTAGTTCCATACGGGGGTCACTGAATACCCACCGTGTGTGTCAGGGGTGGGGGTTTCTGGGAAGGAGGAGGAGAAAACCCAAGCAGAGGATGGCCTTGAAAGCCAGGCCTGGGAACTTGGACCACTGAGCCCCCATTCAGCTCAGCCTTGTTCACAGACCACAGCCCTCCTACATGCCAGGCCCATGCTGAGCCCCAGGGATACAGCAGGAGCAAGACCTGTCACCCCAGCCCTCGTGTGGCCGCTTAGAATCCTGAGACCTGAGGCGGTTTGACCTGGAGGGGGCCTCAGAAATCAGAGTCCAGGTGTAATTTACATTTGGGGAAACTGAGGCTGGAGAGATCCCACATCTCTGTCCCCATTAGCTTGGAAAGATTGACACTCGGTCCAGCAGACACGGAGTCCACACCCCCTCTCGCCCTTGCCTGACAAATGTGTCCTTCCTGTCATGGATTTTCAGCGCTCCTTTCTGTCCCGTGGCAGCCATGCTGGGGCCACAGACGCCCAGAGCCAGTGATCTGGGGCTTGGTTTCACTGCGCTGGACTCAGTGCCACCCCTCATGGTCCCCGCCCATCTTGGCCTTTGCGGGAAGGGACAGAGTGTCACTGCCCAGAGGGAGCGGTCTAGCCTCTTCCAGAGGGTTCTGGGGCCTTCTCTAGTCCCTGATACCCACGGCTCAGCAGACACGCGGCAGGTGCCTCCTACATACCAGGCCTTCAGAGAGGGGTCCCAAGTGGGTCCCTGGGGGGTTTCAGACCCTGCTGGGGACGTTGCTCACAGCCCTGCTTGTCCCCTATGTCCCCGTGTTTGTCCCCTTGCTGCCCCCAAGGGCCAAGCCCCTGGACTGAGCAGCTGCAGGCCAGCAATGCAGCGCTGCCTCTTGAGGCTGAGGGCCAGAGGGGCAGGGCCGCAGGGGAACCCAGGGGCTCTGAGAGCCAGGCTCCTCGCGTCCTGGCTCTGGGCCCGGCAGTCTCTGGTTCACCCAGAGGGGTTTCTGGTCCGGCCTGGGGTCCCTTCCCGCTGTTCCCGTTGCCTCGAGAGGCTGAGTTCCTCTCTCGTCTGTAAATGCCTGTAAGTGGCTGGGGCTCGGCTGAGGCTGGGCCCGCGGGCTGTCAGCGCCTCCCTGCTTGGCCCCCAACCCCGGCCACCAGCGCTCAGCCCGTCCTCCCTCCTCCCCGTGCGTCCCGGCTGCCTGCACCCCCATCTCCCCGGCCACCAGCGCTCAGCCCATCCCCTGTCCTCCCTGTGCGTCCCGGCTGCCTGCACCCCCATCTCCTGCACCCCCATCTCTACGCTCACTCCCCTGCTTTCTGCTCACGACTTGCTCTTTCTCGGCCTCTTGCCCTCCACTCTCCTTGAGACTCCGCTCTGTGTCCAGGATGGTTTCTGAGACTGAACGCCGAGGGCAGGAGTAAGGGAGGGAGCGAGAGGCAGGGCAGGATTCGGGAGAAAGCCATGGAGACGAGTGTGGGAACGGGACATGCTCTAGTCGCCCCCTTGACAGCCTTCACGAGCCGTGCCCTTCACCTGCGTCCTCGCCCTGAGAGGCCGGCCCTGCTGTCCCCTTATTAGAGACAGGAGACTAAGTTCGAGGGGCCGGGGGCCTGTTTGAGGTCACACAGAACACCAGGGCCTCTGCTCCTAACTGCCACCCCATTGAGGCTGAGTCCCAGCCAGGGCCAGACCCAGGACGACAGGCTCTCTGCCCTAAGGGGCCTTGGGACCGAGGAGGCCATAGCGAGCTCTGGACGCTGGTTCCTGCAGCTGGTGGGAGCGTGTGGCTAGGCTGGCAGCTCCCTGCGGGAGGAGGGCAGCTGGAGCCAGGACAGGAGGTGGCGGCAGGGACCAGGAACGCCACTTGGCAGGAGGGACACCGGTTGGTCAGTGGAAGGGACCAGCCGAGGTCACAGCCTGCTGGTGGCTGGTCCCAGAAGGTGCCCTTTCGGATTCTCCGGAGGACCCGGAAGCAGGGGCAGCCGCCCGCGCCTCGCCCTCAGCCGGGCCGCTTGACGGAGGGGCCAGCACCGAGGAGAGGAGGGGAAGGCCGGCCTGGGGTGTGGTCTGTTTCCTTAACTCTGCTTCTGTCTCGCTTTCCCTCCCTGGCTTCCCTCACTGCCTGCTCCTGTCTCTCCCTGGGTTTCTGGTGGTGGAAAAGCTCAAGTCTTTGCGAAGCTAATGATCTGCCTCTGTGTGAAGCTTACTGGAGGCTGGACCTCGACACAGACTCCGCCGACGGCCTCTCAGTCCCTCTGCCGGCGTCCCCGGAGCCCAGTGCTGGCCCCCTGCAGGCTGCAGCCCCTGCCCACTCCCACGCCGGTGGCCCCGGCCCCGCAGAGCACGCCTGAGCCTCCCAGGGCTCCTCTCCCCGGGCCCCTAGACCTTAGGAATGAAGTGCAGTGTTCCCCTCTGGGCCCACCACAGCCTCAGCTCCCTTCAGCCTTGGGGCCCACTTGGGGAGCTGCCGTGGCCTCTTTCGGAACCGTGTCAGCCCAGGGACAGCCCACCTAGGAGTGTTGGGGGAAAGCAAATACCCCCAGCCATGCCAGGGGGGCCCATCCTTCCTCTTGTCACCTTTTATTTGCTACCTTCCTGGCTGGCTGGAAGGAAGTTTCCAGGATAGTTTGTCCCGTTGAGGACCTAACGGCGGGGCAGGGAGGATGCCCAGCCTTGGGAGACCTGACCTGAGCGTGATGTTTACAATGGAGGACGCAAGTGCTCAGAGTGGACAGTACTAGCCAAGGCCAGGCCCCCATGCAGAGCTCTGCCCGCTACCTTGCCCTGAGGCTCCCTGCGCTAGCTGACTGCCCCTGCAGGGCTGTGGGGAAAGGGGGCTGCCCACTCTTGCAGAAGTCAGGCAGGGTCCTTCCTAATTCCGCTGCTGCACACGTTTTGGTTCTTTTTGTGATGAGGCTGTTGAATAAAGCCAGCTCCACCCTTTTGCTTTGGTCGGTTCCTTTTCTTGCTCAGCCCCAATCAGTTTTGGACCACCCTTGGTCTCGGTGGCTGTCGGAAAACAGCCCCTGGGCTCTGCCTGGACAACATTGGGCTCCAGGTCAGCCTTCTCACGGGGGCTCTGGGCAAGCAGGGGTTTTGTCAGCTCGGAGTCATGGCTGCATTTCCATTGCCTAGAAAGAGCTGTCTAGGACCTAGAAGGGCCCTAATGTTTGGTGAATGCATGAAAAGCTGCCATTATTGCATACCACGTGGCCTAGGCGGCGTGCGTCTGGTTGCACCCCGAGTCGGTGCTCGCTATTGGCATCTCAGGGAGGGGCGACCACGGGCTTGCAAGGGGTTGTAGTGCTGTGCTCATGTCATGGAGCTGGGAAGTGAAGTGGGAGGTTCAGGACTCAACCCAGGTGGAACGCTAGGCGCAGTGCCTGGAGCCAGGCTCACCTGAGAAGCGGGGGGCGGGTGTCACCCCAGAAGAGCCGGGACATCAATCCCAAGCCCTGTCACCGGCGTGCTTTATCTCCCTCCCAGAGGGAGATCACCGTCCCAGTGTACAGAGGACATGCCAACCCACGACCCGCCACGTCACTCTGAATTTATTAGCAATCACCACTGAAACATAAACTCGATGAGGACGCTGCTGTGTTTTCTTCAACGCTTGTACCCCGGGGCCTTGGAACCTGCCCGGCGCGCAGTCCTTTCTGAACGAACGCGATCTCGCCAGCTTCCACTTGGGGTCTGAGTCCCCAGAGAACTAAATTCCTGCGGATCTGTTCCTGTCCCCCCCTTATGGGTACCGACCACCTACCCCGTGCCGGGCGCGGTCCCCGCCCCCGCCCCATAATGCTTTGCGCCCCGCCCCCCGTGCCTCTTCCGTTGGAGCCACCTGGTTAATCGAGCGTCGCGCGCTGGCTGCTCGGCGCTCGGCTGGCCGCGCCTGCCCACGTGCTGGTTTCCGGCGAGCGCAGCGGAAGGGGAGAGGGTCGCGCCGGCCGGGGGCAGGGTATATGTCTGTGGCTGCCGGTGCCGGCGAGGGACGCTGCACCCCGGCTCTCCTCCCCGCGAGTAGGACCCCGGAGCGAGCCCCGCCCGACCCCCGCACCTCCAGCCATGGCTTCTCTGCTTGCGAAGGACGCCTACCTCCAGAGCCTGGCCAAGAAGATCTGCTCCCAGCCCAGCCCCGAGCCACAGAAGCGCAAGTCGGGTAAAGCGCAGCCCCCGGCCGGGACTGGGAGGGCTTCGGAAGGGGGCGCCCCTCCACCCCCCAGCGTCCCCACTCCCCTCCGCGGCGGAGGTCGGTGTGTGCCCCACACCGCACCTGAGTAGCCTTCAGGTGGAGTAGGCACGTAGATGCGTGAAACAAGCCTGTGAAATATTAGAGGGAAGTGTTGTAAGGGATGCTTAAAGGCAACGCCATTTCCCTTGTTCGTTGGGAGCGTCCGTCTGGGAGTCTGAGGGATTCAGCTGTGCGCCCTCCGGGCTGGAAGCTCGGCCGGGGTTTGGAGGAGGTGACCCCGTGGAACGGTTGCCCTGCCGTTGGGCATCGTGAACAGGCTTAGCCAGCCCTCCACGCCGGGTGGGAAGACAGGTATGAGTGATGATGAAAAAATTACTTTTTCAGCCCAGTACTATGGGCCTGGTGGTGGTGTGGGGAGAAGGAAGAAGAAGATGGGTCCTGCTAACGGGAGTTTACACGGCAGTGGTGACAAGGGTCCCCTCAGGAGGCAGGTACACAAGTAGGTGAAACAGACAGTAATTGGCCTGCCCTGGCGCAGAGGAGGGGAGAGTGGGCACGTCTGCCGTGGACCTACCAGTGGGAAAACGACCTTTTCTTTTTATACAAGGAAAATGTGTTCATCGTAGAAAAATGAAGTTAAGTGAATTTTTTCACCACTCAGTTACTAGTTAGATCTGTGTCTTTCTAAAACTTTTTCTGAGCGTTTCTCACTGAAACAATTTGGCTCCTACCTTGTGTACTCAACTCTCATTTTCCTTGTAGAATGTAAATATTCTGTGCCCTCCCCAACACACACACTTGTGGGGTCTTAGGCCCCCGACCACGGATTGAATCCAGGCCCTCGGCAGTGACAGTGCGGAGCGCTTAACCCCTGGACCGCCAGGGAATTCTCTCCCGGTCTGTTACAGTGAAAGCCTGTGCCATTCTCTTTTGTTGGGTGCATCATAGTTTGTTTTGTGGCGGTGCCGTCGCTGTCGTTGTAGATGGATGTCTAGGTTTAACCAGTTTTTCGCTCAAAAAAGGACGTAACGATGAACATCCTGAGGCCACATCTTTCTGCATACCCAGAATGGGTTCTCACAAGCAGACTGCTGGGGCAGCGTGTGGGTGCTTTGCAGGGTTTTGATGAGTGTGGCTAGTCTGCTTTCTAGGAAGTTTGTGGTTCTGAGCTCAACGGATGAGGGTCTCCATATCCCCCATCCTGATGGGCTTTTGGCATTCTTCTAGGACCGAAGCCTCTGCAAGACCTTCCTGTCTATTGAATGGGTCACAGGGATTGGAGTGGCAGCCCTTTCTCATTTTGTGTTTCAGCTGGCAAAACTCAAGTCTCAGAAGCTGCTAGGCCCCCCAAAAAGAAGAGGAAGAGAGCACAGAAGAAGTCCCGGGAGCGGGAGGAGAAGGCTGCAGAACCCAAGGCCCAGGCCCCTGCGGAGAAGTCTCAAGCCAGGACGCCAGTGGCAGCCAAGGAGAAGGAGGATGAGGCCCCCAGCTCGACCGGGGCCCCTGCGGGTGAGGGGGGTGGGCAGGGTCGACTGGGGTCTGGGACAGATACAAAAGTGGGCCTCTCTGGTCATAACGGCACGATCAGATCGTGTGAGACTTCCCGAAGAGCGCGTTTTCAGAGGACAGATCACGGGGCCCCTGTGGGTGGATGGGAATCTCAGGAAGTGCACAGTAGTTCCAGGCCGCGTAGTAACTGGGATGGCGAGGGGCAAGGCCATGTCCCACTGAGGTCCTGCAGCAGCTTGGCTTGTAGAGCTTTACTGCCCTCACGTCCCTGAAGTGGTGTGAGAGCTGTCTCTGGCTCTGGGGGGGGCACTGCAGAAGGTGGAAGAAGTGGGAGATGGGTTTGGGCCGCACTTCGTGAGGATGTCCTGCCCTGGAGGCCAGTCCAGCTTGAAGAGGTAGGGTAGAATTTACTGGAACTGACCTGCAGATCCACGAGTGGTCACTGGAGGGGGGCAGTGTATGGAGACTCAGGCTTCGAAGCTGGGCCCTTGGGGAGGGCACAGGAAGGTCGGGGGGTGGGGGAGTCTCCTTTTGTTCTTCTGACTGCTTCTTTGCAGATGGCCTGGCCAGTGAGCCTGGCTCTTTATTTGCCTTGGACGTTCTGCGGCAGCGCCTGCATGAGAAGATCCGGGAGGCGCGGGGCCAGGTAGGTGGAGGAGACCTCTGGGTCCTGTGGTGGTTCCCGCACCCTGCCTGGAGAGAAGACGCTCAGCTGCTTGCTGAGGTCAGCCCCAGCTCTGCCAGCTATTATGGGGCTGACGGGGCAGGCGTGGGGGGGCTCAGCCCCTGTTCCCGCCCCTGCAGCGGGTGCCGCCAGGGCCTCGGCAGCTCTGTCTTGCAAGAGGTCAGGTGTAGTTCTTGTCATCTTGGGGAGCTCGGTCCCCAGGGTCCCCCTCCTGCTGGCCACGCTGAGCTTCTGGCTCTTCTGTCCTGCGGCCTTGGAGAGAGGCTCTTCTGTCCTGCGGCCTTGGAGAGAGGCTCAGCCTCTTCCTTCAGGGAAAGCTGCCTTTGCTAACACACCCACACTGGGCGACAATTCCTGCACGTTTGTCCGTCTAAATGCACGACAGCCCTGTGAGGTAAGCCAGGGCCTGAGATGAGGTGACCAGCCCAAGGTGACAGGCATGGGACGGACGCTCCAGGATCTCAACCAGCCTCAGCGTGGATGGCATCGCCACCCCCCGCCCCCTGTTTTCCTGGGGCCCTCCCCCAAGCCTCCTGCTGTGTGGGGACAGTCCCCTGGCTTCTTTCTGCACTGTCCTGGGACAGGCCCGAGGGCCCTGCCTTCCTGCAGTGGTCCAGAGCACTGTTGTCTGCCCCGCAGGGGTCAGAATCGTGCAGTGGTCTGCACAGGTGCAGTGTTCTGACCCAATGCCAAGATCTGGGTGGTGGCCTTGGCTAAGCCCCCTGTCCTTGTCTCTGAAATGATGGAGGACCACATGTCCCTTATTGGGTCACTGGGGAGACTTAGAGGCAGCATGTTTGGGAAGTGCCCCGGTATGGTAGGTGCCTGGGATCCGGAAGGCACGGTTCTCGTGGGGTCCCCTTGGCCTTGTTTTGGGTGCACTTTGGGTGCCAGGTCACCTCCGGGTGGAACGCTGCACGTGGCGGGCCCATTTTCCTGCCCTGATTCCATGTGCCAGGCTGGGGGCCCCGCGGTTGGGAGAACCTGATGAGTGAGCACCTTCTTGCGCCGCAGGGCAGCGCCAATGAGTTGTCTCCAGCTGCTTTGGAGAAAAGACGCCGGAGGAAGCAGGAGCGCGACCGGAAGAAGAGGAAGCGGAGGGAACTGAGAGCAAAGGAGAAGGCGGCCGAGGCCCTCGAGGGGGTGGAGGCTGCCAAGCCGCCACCCGAGGCGCCCCACGAGGAGGCGCAGGTCCAGGCGGGGCTGCTCTTCAACAAGGTGAGCGCTGCGCGGCCGTCGGGTGGGTGGAGGTGGGCGCAGTGCGTGGGCCCCAGGCGGGCGGGAAGCGGCGCGCAGCTCACATCGCCCTCTTCCTCCGAGGTGGAGGTGAGCGAGGAGGAGCCGGGCAGCAAGGCCCAGCGTAGGAAGGAGAAGAGGCAGAAGCTGAAGGGGAACCTGACGCCGCTGACGGGCAGGAACTACCGGCAGCTGTTGGAGCGCCTGCAGGCGCGGCGGGCCCGGCTGGAGGAGCTGCGGGACCAGGACGCGGGCCAGGCCCGGGAGCTCGAGGCCAAGATGCAGTGGACCAACCTGCTGTACAAGGCCGAGGGCGTGAAGATCCGCGACGACGAGCACCTGCTGCAGGAGGCCCTGAAGCGCAAGGAGAAGCGGCGGGCGCAGCGGCAGCGTGCGTGGGAGAAGCGCACGGCGCACGTGCTGGGGAAGATGCAGCAGCGGCAGGACAGGCGGCGGCAGAACCTGCGCAAGAAGAAGGCGGCCAGGGCCGAGCGGCGCCTGGAGAAGGCTCGCAAGAAGGGCCGCATCCTGCCCCAGGACCTGGAGCGGGCCGGCCTGGTCTGAGGGCCCGGATGCCCGACGCCGACCTGGGTGGCTGCAGGCTCCGGGTCCCAGCGGAGAGCGGACGCCGCCGCGTGCTTGAGAGCCTTTGGATCCAGGGGAGGGATGACCCAAATCGGGGCTCTAGGCTCCTCTTGTGAGGCCGGAACGCTCCCTGAAAGTTGCGGGGTGGGGGGCGAGGGAGCAGCGAGGAGGGAGGGGGCGTCTTGAGGGGGGGCTTCCCTGGCGCCCTCTTCCTCCCCCGTGTTTACAGGAGCGGGAACTGCTGTGTCTGCCCCAAACTCACTTGGAAAAGGACAAAAACCAGCCAGCTCCTGTAACCTGCGTTGGAGTGGAGTTGACGGGCTCGGTAACTGGGAGACGGCGGGGCCGTCCTCCGGCTGCCTGGAATTGAGTTATTCGAAGTTAATTTCTAACGTGGGTGAAACCTAGAATTTAAGGTAGACGTGCACATTAAAAATCCTAAGGTAACCAGTAAAAGGTAGAAACTGAACTAGCAGGAAGCACAGCGGAGTGGGGTGGACAGTTATCGATCTGGGGGGAGGCAGGAGAGAAAGAGTAAAACTTAGAACCGAGCGAGGCCAATGGAGGGTGCACAGTCAGAGGCACAGTTAAGTCCAAGCCCGCAGGCAGCCGGGATGAATGCACGGGACAAAACTCAATGAATCTTATGGTATGTGGATTATATTTCAGTAAAACTGTTAATAAAATTCTTTTGACTAAACTCCAGTTAAGAAACAGATGGTAACCAAAAGGAAGCTGGTGTGGCTGTATTATAGGATGAAGATTTGAAGGTAAAAGGCACTAGTAGAGAGAAAAGAAAGTCGCCACGTAATGAAAGGGGTGCAGGTCACCTGGAAGGTAGAACAGTTCTGCACCAGGAACAGCTTCAAATCTGTCTAGCAGAAACTGACCCCGCTACAAGGAGAAATCAATTCACAAACCAAAGTGGGAGATTTTTAACATCTCCGTTAAGAATTGATACACCAAGCAGACAAAATCAGATGCATAGGGAAGGTTTCAGCGAGAGCGTTTGTAAGCTTGATCTGATGGACACAGAATAGTGCCTCTAAAAACAGTGTGTACCGGGACTTCCCTGGTAGTCCGGTGGTTAGGACTCTGCTTCCAATGCAGGGGGTGTGGGTTTGATCCCTGGTCAGGGAACTAAGACCCCACATGCCTCGGGATGCAGCAAAAATTTAAAAACAAAACAGTATGTACCTCAAGCACACGTGGAACAGTGGTGAAAACTGACCACCTCCTAGTCCATAAAGCGAGTCATATTTCAAAGCGTCAGCATCGTATCTGGCCGTAGAACAATTTAAAAACTTCAGAGGTAATTGTTAAAATTTCCTGTTTGGAAGTTTAAAAACACACTTCTAAATTAACTGTGATTCAAAGAGTAATCCCTAGTGGATGTTAGAGAAAGTTTAGGACTGAAAGGTAATGAAAGTGCTGTGCATTAAAATCTGTGGGCCACAGCGAAGGCAGTGCCAAAAGCACTTTGTAGCCTTAAAAGTGTGCTTATGTGTATCTGTTCCTGGTTATACATCTTAGGAAGTGATTGCATCATGCAGCACAATTTCCTGCCATCTTGCTTGACCTAGCACATCATTCCAGGATCCTGTTGTCCCATTCTCTGCACCCAGCAGTTACTCCCGAATTATTGTCCGTATGTTGCAGTCAGAGTTGGGAGAGTATAAACCCCCTGTGGAAATCGCAGGAGCATCTCAAAAGGCCTGGTGGATGTATCATTGGGTGCTCCCCCTGAAGCCTGGAAGTCCAGGAAGCTCGCCCCTCCGGCCTGGAGTGCTGCTGTGTCCCCAGCTTCATGTAGCTGGTGTGCAGGGTGAGCAGGTGGTGCATTTTGGTGGCAGGTGGCATCAGGAGCACCCCATTTCTAGAAGCAGCACTGGACAATAGGAGATACAGCGCAGAAAGGCTGAGGAAATACAGAGAATTCTTCACCTGGTGGGATACAGAGCCTGTATCCAAGTTGAAACACTGAAAATGCTCCAGCCTCCCTGGGCTTGGCCACTCGTGTCCCTCCCTGGCCAGGGCTGGGAGCTGATGATGCACAGAAGCAAGGACATGCTGCACATGACTTTGGTGGCAACCGAAGCGCCTCATGGCCAGAGGCAGTAGTGGACGATGGAATATGGACAACAGGGAAGAAGAGGTTAAGAACGTTACAGAACGAGTCTAGGAGGCCCGATGCACACCTCTTGGGTGCCGTGCGCCTCAAGCGCAGAAGATGAAATGCAGAGTCATGGGAGAAAACTTCCAAGGGCCTAATGTCAAATATTTTCAGAACCAAATGGCAAGAGTCTCCAAGTCAGAAGGTCCCCCTCCTGTTGCATAGTGAATCAGATGGAGATAGCTGTAACCAGGACACGTGCTCAGGAACCATGGTTCACCAGGAACTGGGGTTCCAACAGTCCTGCAAGGCCAGGGTAGTTTTGTGCCACTGGCCCCTTTGGGTGAGGCTGGGAAGTAGGCTCCCAGTCAACCTTTCTTTCTACTTAGGGGCTCCAGAAGTTGAACTAACACATGGTTAGAAATTCAGTGAGGGGCTACATGCAACTGAGTAGCTCAAGTGAAGCTTCTGTTCACCAGACCTGCGTCGGGGTGCAGAGGGCAGAGAGCTGTCTCCAGACCCCCCGTGGGTTGGCGCACCCAGTCCATTGCACTAGCCTGACAACTGTGGGAACCTCGCGTACATGGCCTGTGGAAGTAAGGTGTTCCCTGCCACCCTCAGGTCCCAGGATCTGCTGGCCCAAGAGCATGGTTCTACCCCTGCATCTCCCGTGGCATTCCATCCAGCCTTCAGGGAAGGGCCACCGTGGTGCTTCTCTACTCTGTTCACAGTGCTTTTCTAGTACCTCCTCAAAGGATGAGTCTTCTGTACCCTCCCCAGACCACCTGTGGGGTGGATAGCAGGTAACATTGTTAAGACCTTCCAACAAGCCTGCCTCGCTCCTGGTAGAGAGTAGCGTAGAAGAAAGAGTTCTTACCTCTGTGTCATTCCAAGGGATTTCTGGAAGGTTCACTCACCTCAGCATGGGCCACTGTGGGCTCCAGGTTTTGCTCAAGCAACAAAGGAAATGATCGGATCCTTTCCAGTTCCCTAGCTAGCCCACTCTGAGTCCTGCTTATGGGTGGAGCCCCCTCTGAAACTGCACCCCGCCTTTCTTGGCCAAGCACTTCTAGAATCAGCTCCCACACGCTTCCCTGATTTTTTTCCAATGTAAAGCAGCAGGTACTTGTTCAAAGCTGCTTCTGGGTTGGACTTTGTAACTGGCCACTTGGGACCTGCTGAGATCCGACTGTACTTTGCAGTCTAGAGACGAGGTGAGATGGGAGTGAGTTTGAGGAGACTGGCTTCTCCTTGGAGGTAACTTCCTCAGATAAGAGTTCAAGCAAGGCACAGCCTTGTCAGCCGAGGGAGGAGGGACTGATTTCTCAAAGTGAGCCTTGGTGAGGTTGGGTATTCAGGGTACCTGAGGCATCCAACGTTGCCCCAAATATCCCCATTTCAATTCTGAGGGCTGGTCAGTACTCCAGCTTTTCCATGAGAGACCTGGTAAGGTGGTGAATTCGCCTGTTGGTAGGATTTGCTGATGGGCTAGCTAAAACTTGGGTGTTCAGGTAACTCAATCTTGCAGCTGAAAACCATATGAGAGGTTTTTCTGCAGAGTAATAGGAAGTCCCTGATTCGCAGTCCATGTCTTAAGCTAAAAATTGAGGACTTTGAGCCTATCCCTGTCTTTCTGTTGACTACCCAGCACTGTTAAAGGAGCCGCCCCCCCCCCCTGCAGTCCTGGAGTTTCTCAAGCCTTTCTCATTTCTCAAGGTGGTGTTCAGCTAGTCTCTCAAAGTCTCGCCTTCAAAAGATATTTGTCTCAGGTGACCACATCTCCAGATAAGTTGTTTTGCAGCTGTGTGCCAATATATCCAGGGTCCCATCCCCTGGTACTAACCAAGTTTCTACTACCGTCAGCTAAACTCCAGCCAGATAACAAATCCCAGATTTTCCCTAAGTCACTCATGAGAGGTCATGTTATGTTGCATTAAGAAAAGTACTTTTTAACAAATAAGACCAGTAGTTTAAAGCCAGACTGATCACTGGATATGTCTTAGCAACTAGGAATAGAGAAAAACTTCCTCAACTGGATAAATAACATTTACCCCAAACGTACAGATAGCATCATACTTAACAGCGAAAAACTCAGAAATTTTCCTGCTAAGATCAGGAACAAGGCAAAAATGTCCCTTCTCATCACTGCTTTTCAGTGTCATAATAGAGAAGTCCTAGCACATGCGACAGGACAAGAAAAAGAAAAATACATGCAGATTGGGAAGGAAGAAATCAAACTGTCTTTGCAAATGACATGATCGTCTATGTAAACGTCCAGAAGAATTGACAGAAAAACCTGAAACAAATGATTGTATCAAGGTTGCAGGATACAACGTAAATATTGTAAAAAACCAAATTGCTTTCTTATCTAACAAGTGTTCCTGTGAACAAGTGGACTTTGAAATTAAAAATACATTACCATTGGGACTTCCCTGGCTGTCGAGTGGTTAAGACTGTGCTTCCACGGCAGGGAGCGTGGTTTCGATCCCTGGTTGGGGAACTAAGATTCCCACATGCCACACGGCCAACAAAGCAAAACAAACAAAAAAATACATTGCCATTTACACTATGTGAAAATTAACAGTTTCCCAGTGCATGTAAAAGTTATGTTTACACTATACCGTAGCCAATTGTTAAATGTGCAATAGCATTATATCTAAAAAAATGTGCAGCCTTAATTTAAAATATTGCTAAAAAATGCTAACCACCCTCTGAGCCTTCAGCGAGTTGTAAAAGATCACTGACCACAAACCGTAACAAATATAACAGTGAACGTTTTTTAAATATTGTGAGAATTACCAAAATGTGACACAGAGACATGAAGTAAGCCAATGCTGTTGGAGAAATGGTGCCAATAGACGTGCTTGATGCAGGGTTGCCACCAACCTTCAATTTGTAAGAAATGCAGCGTCTGTGAAGTTCAATAAAGGGAAGTGCAGTAAGAGGAGGTGTGCCTGTAAAGGGAAACCTCACTAACATGGAGTTGGGAGGCCAGAATAGGGAGCTGTCGTGCACACGTCACTCAACATCAATACAGATGCCAACAGGAAGAGATGTACCTTGCGTCTCGGGCAGGAAGCGATACCACTACTGCCAGCAGGGGGAAGAGGGGATTTCTCCTTGCCTGGCAATAGCTCAGTGTCAGACCGTCACAACTCAGCTACTGAAAGGCCACTATACTTCAAACCCCAGTTTACTCCATTGGACTTTTTATTTGTAGTAGCCCTTTCCAACGTGCCCTTCTGCTCCATAAAACTTCTTCTCCTTTGCTTTACCAGACTTGCATGTGGTTCACCATAGTTACATGTCCTGAATTACAAGTCTTTGCTGCTCCTGAATAAGCTCTTTTTGTTGGTAAAATAACTGGCTGTCTTATTCCTTTAGGTTAGCAGCTAGCACCCCCGAAATGAAGTAATTAGGTATAAGTCTAACAAACTGTATATTTGATCTATATATCAAAACTCTGATGAAAGTTACCGAGGAAGAACTAAATAAATAGAGATTCTGTGTTCATGGATCAGAAGACTCAGTGTTGTCAAGATGTCAATTCTTCCCAGATTCAGCGCATTCCCAGCAAGTTAGTTTTTGGACATTGACAGACTGATTCTGAAGTTTATGTGGAGAGGCAAAAGACCCAGAATAGCCACTCAATATTAAAAGAGAAGGACACAGTTGGAGGACTGACACCACCCAACTTCAAGACTATAGTGAGGCTGCAGTAATCAAGACAGCATGGTATTGGTGAAAGAATAGACAAATAGATCAATATAGTAGAGGGCAAAGAAATACACCCGCAAAAATATAGTCAACTAATCTTTGAAAAAGGAGCAAAAGAAATACAATGGAAGAAAGATAGTCTTTTCAACAAATGGTGTAGGAAAAACTGGACATCCACTTGCAAAAAAAGAACCTAGATGTACAGACCTTACGTCTTACACAAGAATTAACTC